CAAGTCGACAAGATACGAATCTTTGCAGCTAACTCCAGTGGATAAAGCACCAGCACAGTTAAAAATATGACGTCAGCGAAATGTGTTGTTGATTCCGGGATCAAGGGTAACGGTCTTCTCGTGGTTAAAAAGTGCGCCGACGAAAAGTATTTCCATCAGCAAAATCTTTGCCGCACTTTTGTCATCGAATAGCGTTTCGAATGGCATCGAATAAAAAAACTATATCTAAATCAAACGTAAACATTTATAGTTAAAAGAAATCCATTCTTCGAAAATTAACCTAGCTTAACCTCTTAACGACAGCGCCCGAGATATCTCGGGAATAGATGCCGTTTCGATTTTCCTATCAACGAGTTAACTCGGAAGCTGAAACTTTTAGGGATATTTAATGCTATCGTTAGCAATATCGTGCGGCAATCGACGCACTGCCATGCACATGGTTTTTTAGCTGTGGGAGGGGTCCAAGCGGCTTTTGTGATTGGTTCCACATGACCCTGAGCTGCAGTTGGCGATGTAACCTTCATTTTTCGATTAGGGGTAGAGTCTTAGACCCAGGCACCCTCGTGCTACACCAAATTTTCTCTCGTGCAAATTTGTTTTGTTAGTCAATGCAGGTTACCGGATTATTACTCTGTTGCAGACAGACTATGATGTGCCGCTATGTGTTACACTATGTTCAGACTGTAGCATGCTTTCAATGACATTTATGGATTGTAAAATGTATTTACTTGATTTTTACTTTAGCTCTTATTACCTATTATTACAATGTACTTTTGTGTTACTTTTGGCTAGATTGTGTCTTTTTTTTTTTTTTTTTTTTTTTTTTTTTTTGCTATTTCAATGAAGCCGAGTAATGTCATGAACCATTACAAATAGCTCGTTTTTCCTTTAAAAAAATTTTTTTTCACCTTAAAGCTACATCTGTAGATAATAAAAATTTTATATAAAATTCAGGGATTTTTGGGTATACTTTTTTATATAAATTTGGTCATTAAGTGGTTAATGAAAATGAATTAATGTGTACAAACATTCCGTGTTATTTTCAACTACGCAATCTAGTGCTTATCAAGGTTATCGCTCTTTCTATGATTCATTTATTACTATAGCTATTCCATCGTATAAATTATGCGTCAGCAATCTTCTTCATTAGAAGAAAATTCAAAGTTCCTTTTCCAAGCTTAACTGAAAAAGTGATTGATTAGTCTTGCGTGATTTATTCATCTGAGTTTTCTAGCATGGGTTAAAAAGAGTTAGGTTATAATTAGCGCGCCAAGAAATATCATATAGAAATTGCTAATCATTATTATTATACCGAAAATCTGAATACATAATGCTTTTTCTCCTTATATTGGATTAAACGTATAGCACTGTTTTATGAAAATGATAGATTAAAATTATATGGTATTAGAAATTCGGATTTAGCTCAATTGGTTTAATAAATTAAAGAATTTTAAAATTTTATTCAGGGAAGGTTATTTACATGATTAATATATTTTTACATTATTGTTCAAATACCTTTGCAAAGTCATGCGCAAAGAATATTCTTCAGGTTTCACCGTTAAATCTGAAACTGGAAAATCTGCTGGCATAAAACTCTTTACTACGATGATTAGCTTCTCTCAGGTTATGTCTAAGAGCCTTCCTGCTTGTACCAGACCCGCCAGCGGTCGAGCGGTAAAGTCGCTGAACATTAGTAGGTCGGTCCGAGATTCGAATCCCGCGAACGGGTTGGCTGCATAGACGTTTTTGTAGTTATTCCCATGTGTAACGTGTATACGAGCTAGTTTCTCTTATAAAGTCTTCTATGAAGGCGTCCCTACCCTTAGGCAGATAGCCCTAGACTGCTTTGTCATAATCAAACCAAACCAAACCAAATCCTGCTTGTAGCATTGTTCTCTCAACGATACGTAAAACAGTGTCTTCCATTTACATAATACTCGAACTTCTTCTTTGACCCGCACAATGTTTATAAGCATGAATGGTTTTCAAACCGGAGATTCAAACTTTCAAATGTTTGACGTTTTCGAAAGTCGATTGTTGAAAAAGCATTAGAGGTAAAACAGTAATTGCGCCGCTGCGAAATTTCCATTCGCAGTTCCAATACATGAGAAGCATGTTCCTCCATAATGTGAAACCCACGCCAGGAATGTGGAATTTACATGAGAAACGAGTTTAGGCGTGCCGATGAGCACTTTATAAAGCAACAGCTGAAGACATAAGCTACTTAATAAAAAAAGTATTTATTTTGCTTCATTCTACCACCACCCTTTAAATTTAAACCAGGAAATTTTGATTCACCTTGTAAACTTATATGTGTGTGTGTAATAATTTAAACTGTTGATGACGTCGTAGACGTACATGATGAACACCAGTTCGTGAAGGAGAAGATACGATCTTGACCGGTTTAGTATTTCTTCTGTTGTAAATAAACATTTTTTGATAGGAGTGGAGGATAAACGGGCACAAATGTGCCATTTTTCTGAATAGCTACATGGATACTTTTAGCATTGTTCCTATGAATAGCGTATTTGAAGAAAAAAAAAAAGCAGCAAGCGACAGCAAACTAGTAGCAGGACAAAGAAACAGAGAAGGAATGCATAGTTTGAAAAATAAATGGAAGTTTTGTTAAAACTGATTCAGATACGATTACATTTAAATTTGAATGGGTATTTAAGTTTCAATTTGCAGATTTTATTCTTTCATTATAACAAAAATTTCTGTATTTACCTGAGTGAGACAAGAACACAGAGAAATGCTGTGTTAAAATATTATGGACTAAAATGGACACATTAAGACTGAAACATTTGGCTCATTAAGTTTTTACTGCATGTTCAGGAAGATATCTCAAACTATGTGAAATGAAAAACAATGTAAAGGTAATGGATGGTAAAGCTTAAATGCATGGTCCAAAAAATAAGGGAAACAAAATGAAAAAGATCTTGAACTTGTTCTAATTTAAAAATTTACCAGCGTGTTTTCTGACCCCAATCTCCTGCAGTTATATTGATAAACCTCTCCTGAAACATGAAATGTTGCTTCGTCGCTGAATACCATTTTCTGAAGAAACTGATGATCATTACTGATATGATCCGAGAATGTCTAAAGAAAACTCCTCATGAAAGATTCGATTATTATGTTTGATTTGCCGAAAAATATGAAGTTTATACACCGTCAGTTTCAATCGTTCATTAAAACCTTTTTGAACTTTCGACCAGGAAATTCCTGTTTGAAGTTTAGTAAAGTGAATGGATTTACTGCGACTGTGCATAAACACATCTCGAATGCAGAAACATTTGCATAACTGACGCCTGGTCTATTTGTCCCCCCCCCTTTATACAAAACATGTGTGGTCTCTTGAAGCTATTTTAACCATCTCTTAATTGATTCTTCTTTGATGGAGGTTTATTGAATTCATCTCGGAATCGCCTCTAAACCGTTTTCGAAAATTTCATTTTCCATAACCAGATAACGCACTTAAAACAAATAAAATTCCCTGAACTAAAGGTTATATCGATGTGAATTATATCCAGTTACTTCGTAAAATTACATTTCAATTCAATTCTATTATTCGGTTATTTTTCCATAATTTAAAAATTATAGACGCTCTGTATAACCAAAGGGTAGAAAGTTGCAGAATTTCTGAAGAATGAGAAAATATCGGTGTGTATCTTGTCTCTTAAAATTCCTTTCCTGATCTTCTAAATTAATTATTTTCCTCAGAACGTATATGCCATAGTTTAGTAGCATGGCGAACCTTTTTTTTAGAATATACTTGGAGTGGAAACGGGTTATAAAAGAAAACAAAATTCGAAAATGTTAATCGACCACTGCTGGATTCGAAAATCGAATATATCAGAGGTACAATATCGAAGATATGTCATTATTCTGCATTAAGATAACTATCAATAACTATAAATGCTTATACATGTAAAATCGTAGTATTCTTTGTAAAAAGTTAAATAATTCAGTTGTTCAGATTTTTCTCCGGAATCATTTAAATCTAAGCAATAGAGAGAGAAGATATATTTCTCGAAATGGACCCAGTCTATTGCGATAAAATCAATGCCAAATAATACTCAGATTTACTTATTTCTTATGCAACCTTCCCCCGTTATGGAAAAATAAGCAAATGCAAAAGGATCCTAATGCAAATTTTTGAGAACCAAAGGAGTATAAAGTAAAGAAACAGCTGTTATAAATTTACACAGGAAGACTCTTGATTTACACACGAAGATATAGATTTATAAATTTACTCAGGAAGAAGATGATTTTTAATAAATAAGGGTAACACACAAAATGTTAAAATAAAGACCCCTTTAGAGGTAATTTAAAATCTGAAACCTTTCAGATTTTTTTGGAATATTATTTTTTTACTAATAAAACATTCCTTGAAGATATTGATAATATGGACTTGGTCATTTTTTAATGATTAAGGAAAACAATAAGCTCACTGATTTGGAAAAACTAAGATTTATTCTTGCTTTGTTTTATATTTAATGATATTCAATGGTTATGAAAAGTGTACTTTGAAATATTCAAAGAAGCAATCGTCTAAGGTCCAGAAAAGAATTAATTTATCTTACATTATTTCCTATGGGGAAACTTCGTAAACGTAAACGAGGTTTCACTGTATAGCTAATTAAATCATATAAATCACAAATAAAACTTAAAATATCACTAAAATATATTAAAAGCAGAACTCAAATTACAAAACTCAATTTCTATAAGGCAGAAATAATTTATGCACGTGTAAATTCATCTTCCAGGATCAGAGAAATAACGAACACACACTTGCTGCTAGAGAATGTTTCATTCTCAGAGTTAGGAGACGGAGATACTATACTGGTATATAGGAAATGGATCATCTGGTTAAAATTTTATCATTGTTTGAATCCGATATCACACAGTTCGCTAATATCAATATAAAAATTGATAAATGGACTTTTAAATATTGGTATTCTAAAAATATTTTTATTCATAACGATACTCATGATGCTTACCCAAGGATGAGCGATAGCAAAAAGTTGATCAACATGAAGAAGTTGATTATGAGATAGAACCACCTTTCTAAGATTCGTCCATTCATCGAATAAGTTCGGAGGCAGTGATGTCAACAAGTTATAAGACACATCAAATATAAAAGCATTCTTCGTACCCTGGAAGAAATAATCAAAATAACTTTATGAATCATATATTACCATTTTTTAAAATAATAAAAAAAATTTCAGAGGCTGTTTTGGATATTCAAAAAGTAATAACTATCATGAAACAAGCGAAAAATAATACGCATAATCCTCATTGCTTCAGATATTAAGTGGTTCGAATGCAAAATAAACAAAGTGATACAGTTTAGGAAATTTACATAGATTTATATCTCGTCTCCACCCCTTTCTGCATTTATGTGCAGTTTTCAGCGCTTATATTATGCCGAGAAATGCTTTTTAACTGAAATTTGTCCTTTGCGATTTTATCTAAACATCTTTTACACATTCAACATGTGCGGTAGCACCAATGAGTTTAATTCACAGCTACGACCATGACAAAGCTCCAAACATCAAAATAGAGAATTCCAAATTGTCACAGACAAAAAGAAAATTAAAAGGGCAAACGAAGATAATATTGATAACTTCGTTTGCACTTTTAATTTTCCAGTATGAGAGGATTTGCCCTTCCAGAATTAATCTGTATGACCTTTCCTGGGTATGAGAATACGTCTTTCCAGATAGCAGAATTTCCCAGATAGAGAATATGTCTTTCCAGATTAAGCATACCCGATCCGTATTCGAGAAGTCCAGGGTTCGAGTTCCGGCGAATTTTTCACGTCTCCTGCTTCAAAAAAATCTAATGACTCTGCTTCAAAAAACAAATGGCGCCCGAACAAGGTAGGTGGTGGGCGATAATTCGCCATCACCAGGATTTGTCGAATGGGTCCCCTTTTCTCCAGTCGCCCTTTAGAATGAGGATTATATAAGGTATTTTCTTCCTCCTATTCCGCAAGCCTTCGTGATGTAATTGGAAGCATATTCGACGCCTATTCGACAGGTCAAAATTTCGAGTTCCGGCGACGGCACTGCATATTTTTCCCATTTTCTGCTTCCAAAAACCATAATGACACTTAATACATTTTTTGCAAAACGAAAAATTGTAATTAACATTTATTAGATGATTTGTAACATTTTAAAACAAAATACGCTTTTATCCGAACAATTTGCGAAAATCCTTGTAATCCTGCAAAAATTATGTACATACAAATTCACACTAATCGAATCAACGAATGGCACTGCCTACGCATCTGACTAGGAATCTAAATGCCACATCTAATTTTCTATAAGATCATAATACTCAATCTAGTTTTAAAAAGGATTTATTAAAATACTAAACAAATTAATATAATCTAGAATCAAATCTAATGTTACATCTCATGAGCAGCGTTCGAGCTGCGTCATATCGAAAGTCAAGTTCTCACTGTTGCCATTCCGAGGAAGAGAAAAGTTTGTTTCTAATCAAGCCAGAACATCGGCAGAGAAATGTTTCTAGTCAAACCGGAACATCCCGGTTTTAGAAACAAAACCGTTGGACGATGGTCCAACATCATTTGGAAATGGGAGTGGATTGATATTGGAGACGGCTCGACGAAAGATTCCATCTGAAGTTCTAACGTCTACGACTCGTACTACTCCATCTGGACCAGGAAAGGCCTCTAATGCGAGCTAGTGTCCACTGTTTTTATCCTTTAACAAGACTAGTTGTCCTGCCTTGAGATTGGATTTCACTTGATTCCATTTGAACTGTTCTCCAAATGATTCAGATATTCCACGCTCCAACGGTTCCAGAAATTAGCTCTAAGTTTTTGAATTAAGGTCCATCTAGAAGACAAGGACAAAGAATCTGGAGAATCATTCGGTTCTGGTATCGACAAAAGTGGAGCTCCTATCAGGAAATGACCTGAAGTCAAAGGCTGAAGATCTGTTGGATCAGCCGAAATAGGTGACAGAGGTCGAGAGTTCAAACAAGCTTCTATTTGTGTAATTAATGTATACAGCTCTTCAAAGTTTAAAATTGTCGTTTTCGAGACCTTTGTCAAAATTCTCTTCATTTGTTTTATATTAGCTTCCCATAATCCGCCAAAATGTGGGGAAAGAAGGAGGAATAAATCTCCGTGTTATACCTTCTTCGGAACTAAAGCGTTGAATGGGGTCCGATCTACAAATTCTAAGGAGTTTATCAAGAACATTCTTCGTTCCCTTGAAGTTCTTAGCGATATCACTCCAAACAATGGATGGTTTGGATCGTCTGGAAATAAACCTTCTAAGGCATGCTAGAAATGCTTGAGTAGACAAATCCGATACTACTTCTAAATGAATAGCCTTTGTACTAAAGCAAATAAATATCACGATGTATGATTTTAAAGTAATCCTAGATCTTTTCAAGTTAGGCTTGGTGATGACTGGACCTGCAAAGTCAGTCCTATTTTTTCGAATGGTCTAGTTATTATAAGTCTATCTCTAGGTAAGTCTCCCATCACTTGGTTTATGGTTTGGTTCCTTGTCCGAAAGCAAGTCATGCATTTATTTATAACGCGTCTAAATCTATCTCGTCCGGAAGGTATCCAGTATAATTGTTTAATAAGAGAAAGCGTTGTTTGAACGACCGAAAGAAGAGATTTTTTGTGATAATAATCTATCAGTAATTCAGTGAAATGATGTTTTTTGGGTAAAAAAAAGTTGATGTTTCTGATCTTCTGAAAGATTGGAAAGACTCAATCTCCCACCAATTCGTAAAAGTTTATCTTCGTCTAGAAATACATTTAAGGATAAAAACCTTTCTATTACTTGGAACTGATCGTTTCGACTCCAGGCACTTAATTTCAGGTTGAAATTCATAATGTTGTACACATTTGACTAGCACCTTTGTTGCATTCTGTAATTCAGAAGCACTTAAAAAACTTTCCTTTTCTTAATGGTGGATTGGTTTTACGGTTCTTCACAAACCTTAAACACCAAGCAGTAGTTCTAATCAATTTGCTAAATGATGAATACCTTTAATGAATTCTTTCTCATCGAATTTTAATCTGTGATTATGTGAACCACACCTGTAAACCACAGCTCTCCTTCGAAGTTATTCAATATCTTTGAAATCTGTCACTGATTCTGGGAGTTTAGGCCACGAATCGATGCTCTGTAATAGCCACTTAGGTCCATGCCACCACATGTCACTATTTCATAGTTCAACTAACGTTATTCCCTTTGTTGAATTTGTCTTCGTTCCTCAAGTCAGCATATCGACTGGAATTCAACAGGGCAATAATTCCAGGACTCGGGTGATGTTTTCTCTCGTATTTCCATTACTCGATGTTGAATGAATGGCTTCCATTTATTTAAATCGCCCTTTATCCAATGTAACGTCACAGAAGAGTCTGACAAAAAATATACATTCATCTGGAGTCTTTTTTTCTAACTGTTCTTTCACATTTGAGGCTAATCTTGCTCCGATAAGTGTTCCCATCAGCTCTAGTCTTGGAAGGGACAACTTCAGTGGATCTACTCTGGTTTTGGAAATGACAAAACTATTTCCTATTTCACTGTCCTCCGTGACATATCTCAAGTATATTACAGCTCCATATGCCTTCTGACTTGTGTCGGTACAGCAATGCATTTGAATATCTCTCAATTCAGACTTGTTAGTCTTTTGGAAGTAATGTCACGTAATGTTTACATTCTGAATCGCTGACAGTTCATTAGTCCATTTTTTCATTCTGTTTTCAAAGTGCAATGGCAACGGATCATCCCAATCTGCCCCAAGTTGCCAAATTTCCTGCATTAATAATATATTTTCCCTAATAGTGAATGGATATATAATTCCAATGGGATCGTAGAGCTTTCCAATGGTTTCAAGAACTTCTCTTTTTGTTTTGGGAAGAAATCACCAAAAAATGCCAAACTTGATGACCATTTGGTGACATTTTGGTCCGGTACCTGTATAACTGTAAATTGATGATGTAATTGAATAACTGCAATTGATCCGTATATGTAACTGTAACCATGTCCGGCCCTTATATATAACTTTAACTGAATATGCCTTCCAGTAATTTCGAGAAATGGAAGGTACAAAAGATTTCTCGTTGACCAGAGGTAAACTGTATAAGACCGCAGAGAGCATCAGTTTTCACTTTTTACTTCATAGCTGACTTATAACTGATTTAAAGATCGTGCAAGCTTCGCTCTTTGGATACGTTTTGCATTACGTTGTGTTTAACATTCTCAGCAACCTGAAATGGTAGTTACGTATTGTGCTCCGTCATACTGAGAAGAGCTGCACGTGTATTATTGTGAAAAGTTCCAGAACTGTAAAGTGTTTCTTTTAATAAAATAAATCTTATCAAGCTATCATCGATTCTGCGTGCGTTCAATCCATTATAAACCCGTACGCAAGCAACAGTATTTAAAAAAACCTAAGGTACAAAAATATTTAAAGCATTTAATCCAAGTATTAGAAACGACAGTATTTAAAATTTTTCTTTTCACTTTAGGCCTAAAAATATTGCTTTTTAGCACGTTGGTCCTCTTAGAAAGAAAGTAAATTATAATTAATTTTAAGCATGATCATTTTAAATGTACTACTGTGAGCTTATTGCTATACAATCGTGTATGATCACATCTTTCTTCTTTCAACAGTGGTCAAGCTTACCTCAAAAACATCAGGATCCACTCTCCGTATCGAATTATTTACAAAGGACAGTGACTCCATCAAGTACAGGCCTTTCAAACCATCTCCCTCTAAGGCAGTAAGACGACTGTTATCAAAATTCAAGTTACGAAAGGAATCACGAATTTTCCGAAAATCTGGAAGTTTCTGGAATAAAAAGAGATAAAAAATTATGGTTTCTTTACTACAAAAACGTTTAGCTTTCGATACAAAATATTCACATGTTTACATTTCGAGTAAATAACTGCCTGAAACTTACAAAATTTCGAGTTTCAGACGCAGATCTTCTAGTTTATAAATAGTTAAAAAATAAAGCATACTGTATTGGATGATCTAATTACTTGCTACCCAAAATGCCTGATACAGCTATATAATATTATTTTTAAAATATATCTAAAAATCTAAAATATATCTATATTTTAAAATATATCACTGAAATCGTTCGCCATAAATCTCTGTCAGAAGTCATACTGTTACGTATTATATAATATATAATTTTTGTAAGTTATATGTAAAATTGTAATAGCTTTTGTATAATGCAACATGAAAAGTCTGAAGAAGCGCAGATTCATTCGGTATACCTAAAGCGATTTCAACTTTACCACTCTGTGTTTATGCAAGAAATGCATGTTTTTGCATTAGTATAATCAAGCATTATTACCACTGTAAGGTTTTATTCTGTAAAAATTAACTAGGAATTCTTTAAATCCTACTTAGACTGATGAATGAGTTATCGCTATGTCAGTGAAAGTACAGCAGAGTTTTAAATAACTTTTTTCCATTAAAATTTTGAAATCAACAAAATGCATAAATTCTGCCTACAGTGTCAAACTTCCCCATTTGCGGGTGTAGTAGAAAGTCGAAACTTTAAATAGTTATTCGCAGTCGACAGACTACAATATAAATGATTCCACTAAGACCTCCCTGGAAGAGGGAAGATAGCTCACACACAGCCGAGCTTTAAAGCCTCCTTTGGGATATGTTATCTTCAACTAACCACTACGTCGTTCACGGCAGTAGAAAGTATAGAGCATTAAAAATGATATAAAGGCATTCACAATATTCTTGCCAAACTTTACAGGAATTTTTAATACAGATTTTCACAAGATCAAGTACAGCCAAAATGCTTATATTTCCAATTATTAAATTATTTTGTTTCTCAGCGCATTTAAAAAATTTATGTATATTTACGTAAAGTTCTATATATCATAAAACTATTCTATATATCATAAATCTATATATCATAAAACTATTTACATCATAGGAAACTTCCGATTATATATCTGAAGTTGAAAAGAAAAATATTTTTTGGGATATAGCCGATACCCACCGATATATTGTCAGTAATCTATTTCCCTCTTATAGAGGTAAAGTATATTTTCGACGAACTGTAAGTGCACAAAGGTATCGCCACCGAAGGAGGAGCTTCCAGATCAATGAGCCCCCAGTAATATTTTATGTTGCGCCTCGGAACCTCTGACGCGCTTTAAGCAAAATGGTTGAAACTTTCTTTCCACCTAGTTTTATCTACAAAGTAATTAAAATATCGTGCATTCGTTGTGAAAATTTCCAATGCGAATTTAGATCAAATGTAAGTAATTGTGAAGATTTCACTGCCTGTTTAAAATAATTTGAAAGAAATACAAATAGATACTGGATGCTGCGAATACAAATGCGAAATAAGAAATTAACACCAGCTTTCAAATATTCAGCGTAACAAAAGCAGTAAAGATCCATTAATCCGAACTAGTAGCCCCTCCCTCGGGTGTGATACCGTTGTGCAACTGAGAGCTATGCTCCTGGCTACTATTGTTTGGCAATCGTATTTAAAATCGCATGAGATATCTAGTTGTGACGAAAGATTTCCGCCAAAAAACGTTCTTAATAAAGATTTAAAAAAAAAAAAAAAAAAAAAAAAAAAAAAAAAAAAAAAACATGAAAGCAATACCTTATATAGAGCGGGTAGTAATTACCATCGAAATCTATTATTTTCTGCCAACGGTTTGGTAGTTTTTCAGAGACCATCGGCCCAGAAACTTAATGGCCTTCAGTCCAAAAACACATCAACCTCATTTCGGACATCCTGTGCAGATTGGAAGATAGCACGAGCAAGAAAAAGTTTAGAAATCCGAAGGAGTGATGTTGGGGCTATATGGTGGGTGTGGGAAAACATTCCTTTCGAATTCGTAAAATTCAGGCGGTGAATCCAGACACATGTGATCTTGCATAATCTTGATGGAACACTACCTTTTTGAGCCGGAACTCAGTTCGACGTTTTCTCCTGATAGCAGCGTCAGCGTGGACTAGAATTTCGCTGTACACCTTCCCGTCGAGGGTTTTATTTTTTTCCAGATATAATACCACGAATGAATTTTTATAAATAATACCACGACAATCCCACTAGATACAAAGCTAGATCTTTTTGTTAGTCAAACTGTGCTTTGCAACGCTACCGATGTGCTTACCTGGCGCAGACCAAACCTCTTTTCAGCCTTTGTTAAAGTAAATCCACTTTTCATCACATGTGACGATCCGGTCCAGAATTTTGACCTTCCATTCATATTCGAAGACATTAGTGCAGGCCCAAGCTCGTCTGTCCTTATCTGCTTGAGTCAGCTTATGCGGCACAGAGCGACTGAACTTGTACGTGAAGTTTATGCGATGCATAGCGCGACTAACAGACATGACACTAACGTCTAACTCCTTAGCAAGCTCTCGGGTGGCTGCATACTGATCTTCCTCCACAAATTCTCGGCGAGTTATCTTAAGCGGGCTTCAACACCATCAGTAAGACAGCCAGAGCGCTCTGTTTTTTTGAATATCATAGTCCTTGTTTTTGAACTTTCGGTACCAAACCTTCAACAGTATCGTGTGATACAGCATTATTACCTAAAGCTGTATACATGATTTGGTGACATTCTGTAGCTGACCTTTTGTAACAGAACTGAATATAAATAATGTGATAGTTCCATTTCAGACACCTTCTACTTAATAATAATGATACTTTTTCACAACTGTGATCTAATCTAAAGCATGTCCTTTCTTTCAAATGCCAAAAATTGCTTTGACAAAATATGCTTAAACACGTCAACGCGAACTGTTTGCACAGACGATATTTGCGGTGGCGGGAAACTCGCTAAAACCCGATAGTTGTTATTATCTGCCCCCACATGAATTCTGCTAAATACGAAGGAAAGTGATTTTCTTCAATGAAGAAGTAACGCCGAGCGGAAAAAGTAGTTTGAATGCCAATGAATAGAATATTGTTAGGAACTGAGTAATTTGCGGTGGAAATGATTGATTGGAACAGTGGGATTCGGTTTTTGATACTGATATTTAAGAAGAGACTGTTAACAATCATAAGATGCAAACGATCAACAAAATTGAGTAGTTATTTGATGCACATTTGAAATTGAAACTGACATTTAGTGTGTAGAGACATTAGGATTTTTGGAAGCCGGAGAGATGAAAAATGAGCAATCGCCTTCACCGGGAATCGAACCACGGACCTCTGAAATATTGGCCCAGCGCGCAGAACCACTACACCACGAAGGCACGCTAGGAAAGTGGGAGAAATACCTTATAAATGTATGAAGAAGGCAAAGGACGCGAACATGGCCAATTTTAGACATTACCAACTTCAGAAAATGTAAAGCCTCGGTTTTCGATATGAATGATTGCGTGACAATCCGTGCCTTACTTTTCCTGTCTAGGATTTGCTGAGCAAGGGCGTGAACGTGCATATTCCAAATTGAGCCGCTTAGAATATAGGCTTCCGATTGTTACGATGTGCGAAGGTCCGGGTGAGGTGTCTCTGTTTACGATGAGTTATAAAGAGATTGTTCCGGGTAGATATTTAGTGCGACGGGGAGGACAGGTGTATTGCTATTAGAAAAGATCGCTTAAAGAAGTATGTATCAAGTTCCGTTTGTATCCTTGCTCCAAGTGAAGCGTCTATCGGGCTATTCCATTGCGTCGCGTAATTGTTTTCAGAATTTTTATAAACTCCGAAGTCTGCTCAAGTATTCTTCACCTCCGCTTAGTGTATAGTAATGAGTGAGCCTTAAAAGAACTTTCATTTAACTGCTATCTATGAAAAGTTAATTTTTTATCGACTGTTATGAATCTTAAAAATTTTATATCGTCACAAAGATCGGAATATCTGTATTTGCGTAAAATTATGGAAATGTTAAAAACGAATATCGTGTTATAATATTATTCTATCTCTCTGTGTACTAAAATACAACTTAAACTCTTCTAACTTTTTGCTTATCACGATCAAACCTGCGTGTAATCTTTGGTACAACGTATAGAGGTCTTAATTGCAAGTTCATGTGATTCGCCTAAGTGTCTTAAATACTCAACATTTGTCAGCGTTAACACTGGAAGATGACAGTTTCAACGTAACTGAAACTTTTTCAATTACTTTTTTTTTATTTTTATTTTGGCAAAATATCACATGCCTGGAAATAATGAATTGCTTCTGCTTCATTTCTCAGCATTCTAGTAAACGCCTCACGCAAAATGCATTAAAAATTACCGCAAGACGAACAAATGTACTTTCCCAAGAATTTTCAGTGGTAAAAGAACAACCGAGAAATGACGCGATGCTAACAAGCGTTTCCTCTAATTTGCTTGAAGATGACGTCGAACTAATAAAAGAAACGCTCTCCACAATATCTAAATCAAAATAAGTAAGTAAATAAATAAATAACCGAATCTTACTGGATAAATGCGCAACAAATTCTAAGGTTGCAAGATTCACAGAAAAACAAAGTATATATTACATAGGTGGTCTATCAGCGGATCCCAGACAATACACAAGTACTGGAAAACATGTTCAAATTCATATATTTTATCGCTGTAACAACAAATTCATGTATTTTATCGATGTAATAAACTAAAAATTTAGTTTTTTAGTGTTACTAATTATTATTTAATCCTTTAAGTTACTCAGTCTTTTAGAGTCATACTAATGTTTAGAAGGTCGTCTATTCAGATCATTTACATAGCACACATGTCTTTGAATGCAGGTAATCTATTTTAGTTGATGAGCCGATTAATTTTGATCTTCAGAATATGTTTTGGAATATGTATGGATGATAACTGTGTTAAGATACGATCTAGTAAGCCTTCGTAAACTTCTC